AATATAAATGATATTTTTTGTATTATTGAAAGATTTCTGTTTTCAAAAGTGATTTTAAGTGAGATTTTTTCTTAAAGTAACAAAAAAATAAAGTTTTGTTTGTCTTTTTGAACGGAAGATATGATTTACTGTTTTGAAGTATAAATATATATCGGTTGAGAAATTGCTGTCAAAAAATGTCAACAAAGCATAAAATTCTGGAAAAGATGACAATTTTTATAAATTATTTTTAAATATGTTTTATGATATACACAGTAGTATTGTATATATATATATAATATAATAACAATAATACAATGAAACGCTTGTCTAGTTTGTAGAAAAAGATTTTTTCTAGTATTTATAATTACAACAAAAAAGCATATTTTGTTATTTCTTTTGACATTTACTTAAAAGTTTTTACTTTTATTTTTAGCATTTTTCAGTTGCTTTAAAAAATTACGTAATGTAATTTATTAATATTTTGCACAAAAAAATATTAAATTAATTAGCAAATTATTTTTAGTTTTTTATTTGCATCAAAATTTTTCAATTAATATTAATATAAATTTTTCAACCATAGTTTTGTTTTAGTTTTTCAATTATAAAAACAGTTGGAAATCACTTATTCCTACCCTTTCTTTAATGAAATTTATTAGAAAAAAATTACCAAAAATACCAAAAAATTATTTGAGTTATTTTATTAGGATTTTTATATTATATTACTAAATTAGACTGATGTTTATTAATAACTTTTTTTCACGTAATAAATAAAAATTTTGCTATAAGTATATAAATTTATATATAGTAAATATATTAGTATAATGCAAAGTATAAAAAACTATTTTTTTCATTTAATAGATAATATGTAACTTATAAAAATATAAAATATAAGCGAAAAACTATATAAAAATTACAGTGAAAATGATATTGTTTTGTTACTTATTTAAATTATAATAAATTTGTGTATTTATCAGTAAAAATTTTTGAATGAGCAATGAACTTTTATTAATTACTATAATGTTTATAAAAAACATTATTTTTTATTTATTTAATATTAATTTTATTTGTAATTAATATATAAATTGTATGTTCACTAATACTTAATATATGTAAAATACATTATTAATTTTTTGATATAAATAATAAAATCCAGTATTAAATCATTAGTTAATTTCATTGATTCTAAGGAGATATATATAATTATAGTAAAATAATTTTGTTTATAGCAAAAGTCAACTTTTTATTTAAATATTGTAAACTCTATTTATAAAAAAACTTGATAATTGAATGTTTCCGTGATTTTTGCAATTTTTAACTTTTTTTTATCTAATTTATTGATTTTTATTATCGATAATTTTATTATTAAGTTCAAGTTTATTATATAACTATGAATCTAAAAGATATGCCGTTAGTTAATAGTAGTAATACTAATAATAATACCAAATAAATTCTCTTTTAAAAAATTATAATAATTATATACAAAAAAAATACAGTAACTTTCTATTGAATGTCTATTACAATAAAATATGTTATTTAATTCAATTATTTAGCAATTTTTACACAGTTATGGACCAATGCTTTAATATTATAAAATACATTTAAATAAAAGCATTTTTGTAGACTATAATCATAAATCTATTTTTAATGTTCACGTAATGAAACAAATAAAATAACTATTTTTTTGTAGTGATCACACCAAACACTAGTTGAATAGATTATTGAATGATAATATAGTGTATATGTATTTTTTGTGACTTATATAAATTTATAATAAAAATTTTTGACTTATGTCTTATATATTACCTGTTTATCGACAGCTTATGCCGCCAATTATATTATGCAAAAGTATTTATAAGACGAAACACATGAAAACATATGCAATGCATACCTACCTGAGCCCTAAGCGTACCCATGGCTTCCCTTTTTTTAATAATAATTACAAACCATTTGTGACTTTTTGGCAAATTAGGTGAAATGTATTAAAGTATTTACTCATGCATTGTGTTGTATTTTTTTGTTGTTGTTGAAGGGCTTCACCAACAAAAATTTGCACAATATATCTATAATTTTAAATGATTGAATAAAAACAAATGACTCTTCAAAAAATGTTACAAAAATTTTTTCCCCGAAAAAATTTACAATAAAAAAATGCTTAAAAATGTTTTTTGACAGCAAACTTGTCGCCAGTAATTATGCAAAAAACAATTTTTTTGTTTGTTGTTGAGTAGTTTAAAGACACATATCAATACATTTTAAGACATTTATGATATGATATATACAGTTTGAGTACAGTATGTTATGGTGTATTAAAATTTGTTATTTTTTTCGTGTGTGTGTTTAAATATTTTCTATCGATATATTTTATTGTAGATATATATATATATACTGTATATATATGTCTGTAATAGATAATTACTGAGAATTGGAGCCTCAATACATAAATACAGTCAATACCTGGATTTATGATAATGAAAAAAATACTTACTTTACTTAACTATCTGTCAATAAGCTATTTCTAGTTTTCAACATTGGGTTACAGTTAATATTACATAATAATATGTTAGAAATTATAATTATTTAGTATTTGTTATTATTATTAATACAGTATTTAAAGTGTCAATTTATTATGCAATTTAGTTGTGTTTGTGTGTGTGTGGAAAGTAATGTGTGATTTGAAATTTAATATAATATGCAAAACTTTTATATATAAAAAAAACTCGTATAATCTCTATTGCCTTTGAGTTATACGGGTTCATAGTTATATAAGTTATATAATAATGTGTAAATAAAATAACCACATGTCATATACGTTAAAACAATCCTAACATAGATTATATGATAAATTTTTTTTCAAACACCAAATATTTTCTCTCTTTCTTTCACTCTTAGATGAGACCCCTTATATTAAGTGATAGGTAACTAACAGCCCAAAGGTTTTTTCATCAAATATTTAAAGGAGAGAAAAGAGTATTATTTTTATTTTTTAGAGATACAGTATTTGGCTTAAGGAAACTCAATAATACTCTCTCACAATAAATATATACTGTAATACTTGTTATATAAAAAAAATATTTCAATATAATATTGTAATCTAAAATATAAATGTTGATAAGTTAAAAATTAGATGCCAAACGAAAAATATAAGATAACCACAAAAAATTCTGTCACACTGAAATGTATCAACTTTAAATTATTCCTGTGAAGCTACTGTTAATGATAAAAATGCAATTCTTTTTTATTAAAATAAAATGGTTATGTGTCTTTAAATTTTATAATTAAAATTTTTAAAATTATTTGTTTTAAAGATAAAATGGCCATTTTAATAAATATGATCCAAAATTTACAAATCATAAATTTTTAATTTAATTATTATTTATATGATTTCATCATAAATTATCATTTTTAATTTCACAATTCTCAAGTGGTTACCTAAGTGATTATTTAAGAAAATTATCAAAAATTAATAAGATTTAATTAACTCTTTAAAGACGATAAATAGTCAATAACATGAGATAAATGTTTAGCGATAATTAAGTTTTAAATAAAAGTTAAAAATCTAATTTTTTTATGTCCTCTATTAGACAATATATTCATCTTCTATTATAACATTGTTTTAGATTATTTGTCATAAATTAGTAAAAAATACTTATAAATTAAATAATAACTTTTTGTTATAAGCTGAATTAAATGAAATATATTTTAATTTTATTTATAACTTAGTCTTGAAGTAAGATAAAATAAATTTTTTGTATAAGATATAAATGTATGAGTCTCTAAATATGATTAATAAAAAATAAAATATCTAAGTTAATTATAATTATAAAATTTTGGCAATTAATCATCAAATTTTAGTAAATTGCAATAGTTATAAAATAATTTATTAAAAAATTAAAAATATTTATTAGTTTAATAATTATTATATAAATTAACATTCAATGTACTAATCTATAAATGATTTGATAAAATTTAGTGATGTTTTAATAAAAAATAACTGAAATAAACTTTTATCACAATATTATTTTAAAATGTGTTACTTAATGATTAAAAAAATGGTTGATATAGTTGAGATAAAAAATTATTTTTTATTCACCATATAACCCTGTTAATCTACTAGCAAAATATCATTTGATTTTAATTATAAAAAAATGTCTAGTGTATTTAAAATAAATAATTTAAGGTTATGTCAAAAATGACATAATTTCATTTTTTGCTAAAAAAGCTAAGAAATACTTTAAAAATAAAAATGATAATTTCTATATACATTGCGTAATAATTATTGAAGATAATGGTGAAAATTTTATTATTTAATTGTCTTTAGTTTTTAAGAAAATTAACTTAGAAAATTCATTAAAACCATGACAGCTATTGTTGTGATTACCTTATATTTATTTCTACATTTATGTATATAACTTATGGTATGTTTTTAAATAATGTATTTCATATAAAAGCATTTACATTAAATACAGTATATGTTTTGTATAGTAATAAAAGGATTACAAATTTTTTTGAATGTCCAACAAATAGGAGAACATATTTATTATTTATTTCCTGAATCATATCAAGAGGTGCTCTCTCTCTCTTTCTCTCTGTCTGTCTGTCTGTCTCTCTGTTTCTCCCATTTCTTTCTTGAAGGTAATAGTTGTCCAATCAGTCAATCCTTTTTTATGGATGTACTGCTAGTTTAATAGATGAGTATTTTTGGATAATTAGATAATTTTTCATTTAACTATATATTTATTATTGAAAGCTAATGTCAGACAAAAAAGACAAATTATTGATTATAAGAGTCTCTCTCTATTTAAACATAACATTAAGAGTATTTGATTTTCAACAAAAATAATCATTTAATCCTTTACCTATTGAACAGGTATTTAATAAATGGTTTTTTTATTGATAATGTGTTAGCTAAAGTCATAAAAGTTTTTAATAATAGAAAAAGTACATTTAAAAAAATATACAATACATATTTGATATAACATTATTGTTTAATTTGTTTTTTATTTAATTTTAACAATTAGATTGTAACGATGGTATCGTAACCTATGAACTGTTAACGGGTCAGGTGTTCACCAATCCGTCCGATTCGGTGACAATGATGCCGGGAGTACTGCATCTGACCGACTGTATGAATATGTGTTCGCGGAACAACTCGTGTCGTGCCGTCAACTTTGAGACCGGACTCTGTGTACTATTGAGGACATTGCCCGGCAATGAACAGCCCGATCCATCATCTCAGTCACAGTTCCCAGTATTCACTATATTTGCCCAAAAGATATGTCTATCAGGTAATAATCGTTAGTTGTTTTGGTTTTGAATTGAATAACTTTAGCATAAAAATCACATTTTTGGTTATTTTTATAGTTTATAATTACTGTTATAATTAAAATTGATTTAAAAAAATATATTTTTATGTTACTTTCTTTTTGTTGTTAAATATTTCAATGATAATAAAAATAATAATAATAATAATAATAATAATAATGTTAATTAATTATTTAATGATAAATGAATAGACAAAAAGCAGATGTGCAACAGGGGCTGGGCTTTCGAAAGGGTTAAAGGTTTTGAAATGAAAAAGTATAGCAAAAAAGCCGTTAAAGTAATGACAAGACAGGAATGTATGCAAATGTGTCTCAACGAAAATGACTTCGAGTGCCGATCCGTTAACTTTGACTATGAGTCCAATGAATGCTCCCTTTCCGATATGGACAGGAATACCATCACTTATAATATAATTAAATCTAGAAAATATGGTCCGTCATCGGGCAGTGTTGACTATATGGAAAATAACTGTATTCAAGGTATTAAATCATTTATTTTTCTATCATTATAGTAATTACATTAAAACTTAATATTCTTCATAATTTTTTAGAGCCAAAAAAATTATGTGATTTTAAGCCAATAAATGGCAAAATATTGAAAACAGTTGACTCTGTGTTTGAAAATGTTAAGACCATAGAGGAGTGTAAAGAAAAATGTCTGAACAGTCCCTATCGGTGCCATTCATATGATTTTGGTGACCCATCTAACACTGTTTGTCGTACATCCCATTTGGACAAAAATTCATTGTCTCACGTAGAAAATCCATACATTGAAATAGCAGGTGCCACCACTTATGAACTGGTCTCCTGTTACAATGGTATACCTCTATTATCATGTCGTATACCCTATAAAAAAGGTGTTATAATTTTTTTGTGTTTAATTTTTTAATTTTCAGTAACAATTTTGTGTCGATCCCGTGAGATGATAGCCAAAGTTAGGACAACAAAAGTATTTGACGGCAAAATCTATGCCAAATCAAAGCCAAATCTATGCGTCAATGATATTAGTAATAGTCTAGAGTTTGAGATTAAGATGAAATACAATGACGTTGAGTGTGATGTCAAACAACAAGATAAGGGACAGTTCAGCAATGATATTGTCATTCAACATCACGACATGATTGTCACCACTCAGGACCTGTTGCTTAACGTTCACTGCAAATATGATCTCTCAAACAAAAGCATATCAAACAATGTGAACCTTGCGGTCGACGGGTAAGTGCTTTGAAACGATTGTCTCCAACTAACTACTGGTTCCCAAAACCCCGAGACTTTCATTTATCATAAAATAACATCTTTCTCTATGAGTGTGTGTGTGTGACCTTATCTCTTATATAATGACAATAATTATGTCTAAACACTAATTGTTTAATAACACAAATAATTATTAAAAAAGATTTATTTTGTAATATTGTTGCTGAACTTGGCGTACATTTCCTTAAATTAAAAAAAATATTACTGAAAGATAGCGATAAATTTAGCTTAAATCTGATTTAGCTATAATTAACATATATGTTATAACCATTTGATTTGCATAAATGTTTACATAATATGAGATAATACTTATCATTGGTTATTATTATTACATAAAATGTTTATTTTTTATAAAAAATAACATCAATTTTTAATTTTGTTAATTTTAATTTAGAAATTTGTATCAAAATTTGTATAATGAATTCATGACCTTTTTCTATTTTTCTCAAATATAGACTAATTTGCATAAAAAATCATTTGTTTAATATTAAGCACTTAATTAAATTAAATATGATTGCACTTTAAGTATCTTATAATATTATATCGTAATTTACATATCCGATAGTCATAATTGATTTAGATTTGTATTTTCATTATATATTCACATATAAACTAAAGTATGTATATATTATTCCGGGAAATGATTTTCCAAAAAAAAGTTGTTATTCAAACAAATATAAACTTTGCTTAATTTATTTTTTTATTGTTGGTGTTGTTGTTGTTTACTATGATTATGATTATATGTTTATGGTTATCATTAATGTCCAATCATAAGCTCATTATTAGGGTTAAGTATAAAAAATAGACATCAAAAATACTATATGAGTAGTTAGTCTGTGTTTGTAGAGAAATACTGATTAAAATTTCAAATTAACTGTTCAAATGTCTAATGTGAACATTTCTCACACATAACAAAACAATACATTTCAATACTTAAATAAATTTATATATATATACAGTATATAACTAACTACTAGAAAGCAATTCAATACACAACAACCCAAACAATTTGTATGTTGTGTTGAATAAGTATTTTTGAAAAAATTGAATAGTTTTAATCTCTCTCACCATTTCTCTACATACATACATATATTTTTTTAAATATATTTATAACGATATTACTGTATGTTATTGTATTATGGCATTTTAATTGCTTTAAGGAAATCATACAGTAATATACAGTATTTATAAAGTTTCTCTCTCTCTCTCTTTCTCTCTCTCTCTCTCTCTCTCTCTCTCTCTCTCTCTCTCTCTCATTGAGAAAGACCTTAACCTTCACTACAAAATAAAAGTTTAGATTAACTGAAAGAAAAGTTCAATTAATTTGAATATTTAGATCTCATGATGTTTACAATGTACTGTATATATCAAGTGTACATCAAGTTTGCTGTTAATAATCATTTATTTATTGATGTAACCAGGAACAGTTAGCTCTTTTTTTTGTATACTCATATACATATTTTATTTAATATAATAGATCATATTATGCAAATCATATATATATTACCTGTTTTAATATATTGCAAAATACACACATAAAAGTTATATTAATATAACCCAATATTTTTGAGACTCATTTTTCATGTTTTTCCTGATATAAATCAAACCGACTTATAAAAAGAATATTATCTTTTATTATATTAATGATTAAAATATTATTATTACATTAATTATGATATTATATTTAATATATATATATTTTTTTAATCATTTAATAAAATATTTGTTTGATTTGGACAGTGATGTAGACACTACTGGTCACCACTCGGAAACAGTTAGCTCACCGAACGTAACGATGAGAATCACTGATCTATACAGAAGTGACATAATGTCAGCACAGGTCGGGGATTCACTTTTGCTGCGCTTCTCTATCCTCGAACAGAACAGTATGTATTATATTACATATTATGGTATTACAGTATTTTTTAATGTGTTTTCCCACGAGATATAATATTAGTGTTTTATGTATAGTACCGACAATTTTAAGCAACAACTTTAGTTATACGATATATATATATATATATATATATATTGAACAAAATATCTCCAATATTATTCATTTAGTATCTTTTTTTTGATGATAATTACTGGTATATTTCCCACAAACAACTGTCCCAAAAACAGTGAGAGTATACATTAGTGTAGATAAGTTACACATCGGCTAACAAATTCCAAGATTAACAGTAATTTTCGTTGATTTTTTTTATTTTAAACTTTTTTTGGCTTTTAAATAAAACTATATATAAATAGTATAAGTCTATCATTAGTAGCATTAATATTGATAAATAGTTGTCTTTCATATGGCTAACCATTTTTTTAAAAACCGGAAATTTTTGTGAACATTAAAGAACTTTATTTTACTTTAATGTACTTAAATAAGTAATAAAAAATTGTTTAACAGTTATACATAGTTAAGCATTAAATAAAATAATGATTACTTTTGTTGATAGTGTGTGTATATATAAAAACTTCATTTAATATATTTTTTGTTTGTTGGGTACTGTCTCCACAACACACAAATTCATCAATATATATATATATATATATATATATATATATATATATTATTAATATATTAGTTGTGATTATATTTAATTTAAATGGTTATCTATGAGAAGACAAACATCATTATAAAAACAGTCAATTTTTTGACAACTAATTTTAATGAACCATATATTTAGACACCAATTTGGGTGGTCTAATACATATAGATATTATTTCTATATTGATCTATAATTAACTTATTTATAAGATATATATTTAAATATTTAAATGTCAAACATTATTATGCATATATAAATTTTTTGTTAACTATGATAGATGACATGAACATTAAATTACTTTTTAAATTTGCCATGGATAATTACTTGAGTATATTAAGATAATTTGATTAAAAAAAATAATAATAAAACATATTTGATTGATTAAACATAATAACTTGATTTTATATATTTTAATATTATAAACCGTTTATTACTATAATATATTTATTTATCAATAGTTTACACATTTGCGTTATAAGTATTTTATAAAATTAATAATAATTATTTCACTCTTTTATTTTTAAGGTCCGTATGAGCTATTTGTTAGAGAGTTGGTAGCTATCGATGGACAGGACATGTCTGAGATAACATTGATTGATAGTCAGGGCTGTCCAACCGATTCACTAATAATGGGTTCAATGGGTAAAGCAGACGGTGACGGCCAGATATTGGAGGCCCGTTTCGATGCCTTCAAGTTTCCCACTTCAGACGTCGTCCAATTCAAAGCACTGGTAGCTCCGTGTTTGCCATCCTGTGAACCAATCAAATGTAGTATAACTGGTGCCGACGGCCGCACCAGTGAAATGCATTCTTATGGTAAACGAAGACGAAGGAAGAGAGACGCCGACGAAGTATTGGTTGTCCAGTCATTGAGTGTTTCCGATAAGTTTGGGTTTCAACGAAGTCAACGAAAGTCAGACTCAAATGATGACAATATGTCTGTTATGAACGCTTCAAAAGGTAAGCATTTGGTGATAATTTTACCAAAAAAAAAGTTGGGATAAAATTTAAGTTTTTTTGCTATTTATGTATTATTTCAGAGGAGAAAATAGTTGAAGTAAACTCCTGTAAAAACATATTTGGTATCAGTTTAATAGTATTGACATTTATTTTGGCCCAAACCATACTTGTGGTCACATTTGCCTGTCTCTGGTCCGCCAAACGCCGTGATCGGGCACTGACCAACCGTGAGTGGCCTCAATCGCATTTAATCGCCAACGAGACGCCATACCCGAGCATCTGCAACGACTACATGTATCCGACCAGAAAACCACACTTTTGAATATATTCATAGAAACCGCGATATTAAAAGAGAAATACACATTAATAATGTAAAACAACAAAAATGTTACTCAGTTTTAGGGATTATTTAAATTGAATATCATTACATCTAAATCATGGACTTAGACACACACATGCTTTACATAACATACATATTTTTTTTTATTTATTATTATTTATATATACAACACAAACATTAGAGTTAAACAATTAGAGAATTTTAAGTAATATTTATTTGTTTTTTTTCTTTAAATTATAAGTCATACTTAAAAATTTCTTATTGTATAGCATTTGAATGTCCAACAGATTCTGGATTTTAGCGAAACACCAAAAAAAATAAGATATTAAATAAACTAATTTATGGGTCGGGTATTGATTATAAATAAAGGATTATCTCTATTGGGGGCCCTCCTTAACACATTAGGAGAGCACTGATCATACAAACAATTTGTGATTTTTACTGTTCATTATTTACCATAATTATTTAAATTATTTAACTCATACACAAATAATTTATTTATATTATTTATTTATTTATTTATTAAACTCATATCATTTTTATTATTTATTTCATACATTTTTTCAATTAATTTATTTTCAAGCATCTCATCATTTATTTATTTATATTTTTTTAAATACCGATACATACGTGTAAATCGGCAGCTAATGAACCACATTGTGATCATTTATTTCATTTATTTAATATTTATTAATAATTTATACCAGTATTTCAATAATATTTATTATTTATCTATTTATTTATTAAAAGCAGATTTTATGTTTTATGAAAGTATAATACAGTAATTTTTAATCACTATTTATGTTTTATCATAAAATAATAATACTATAAAACAATAGTGAGAGAGAAGTGAATTATAAATTTAGATTTATTAAGATATTTATAAAATTTTTAAAATATTTATTTATGATTTATATTTTATAAATTGTTTTTCAATACATAAAAATATATTAAACATAATAAAACTGTTTTTATTTCTTAATCTATGTCAAAAACAAATAATTTATTCATAAATTTTAAATAAAATAATAAAATGTTTTTAAAACTATTTTGCTGTTACTTATTTTATTTATGATAATAATAATAATTAAAATTATCCGAAAATGTTTTATTTAATTAAATAATAAAATATCTTATCTATTTTCTAATTATTAATTTTAAAAAATTGTTTCAAATAATTAAATATTCAAATTCTAAAGTTATTTAACAAAAATATTTTTTAAAAATGATTATCGGTTGTCATTATAAAAATGATAATAAGACAAAATTATTTTTATTTATTTTTTTTAAATATAATAACTAAAAAAATATTTCATAAAACTTTATACAAATATTTATGATAAATAATTTAAATATTTGTAAAAAATATAAATATATAAAACTAAAACTAAATATTTCTAAAAAATTCAATAATTAAAATAAAATGTAAGTCATATTTTGATATTATATTTGAAAACATTTATATAAATATTTATCTGTAACTAATGTCATGCCATCACATCCAGTGTGCTCTACATATGTTAGAAAAGACCCCCCAATAGAGATAATCCGTTATTTACAACCAATACCCGACCCATAAATTAATAATATTTAAAAACAAATTTTACCTTAAATACAGGTTTGTATGGATTGTTTTATGGTTATGACATCCATATATGCTATACTTAAATAGACTTAAATTATGACTTTAATACAACGTTTTAAAACAAATAAATATAACTTTAAAATATCTTTAATTGAATGTTTAAATGTATTAAGTATTGTATAGAATTGGATGAATAAAATTCGTGATTTAAAAATAATGATTAGTTTTTTTTCAAGTTATATAATAATATTATAATAAAATTTATTTGGCTGTTCTATATTTTAACACCTCCTAAGTGCCTATTCTGATACAACGTTACTAAAAATTTTAAAAAATAAAACATTTATCTCAATTGTTTATTATTATTTAGTTAATTTAAGTTTAGTTAAATAGTTAACTATTAATATATTATGTTTATCACTAAATTATTGATGAGTATTTCACTTAAATTAGTTTTAGTTTGCGTTATTGAACACCAGGTTAGGTAACGCAGTATTAGATATTTCACGATTATTATATTAAGACTAATATTCATTTTTAGTGGCCATCAATAGACACATCTATTAATTGATTAAACATAATCTTAATTATAAAAAACTAGACTTAAATTAACTAAATAATAATAAATAGTTGAGAGATAAATGATTTATTTGTTAATTAATTTTCAGTAACGTTGTATCAGAATAGACACTTAAGTATTAATATATCATAGAAATCCCATTTATATTATATAATACAATATTATCATCAAAAATGTTATATAAAATTAAAAACTTATGGCAAATAATCTGCTCTCTATTGGCTTCAAAATAAAATAAAAAGATTTAGTTTTAGTAGTTTAAATATTTAGTAGTTTAGTAGTATTAAATATTTGAAAAATAAATTTATAAATTTTAAATAATTTAAAAAATTCAATAATATACTGTAAATAATGTAGTTATAATTTATTTTTTTGAAAAATATTTTAAAAATATAATAATTAAAAATAATAATAGCATTTCTTACATATTCATATAGAGAAAAACTATTCAAAAATTTATTAAACATTTAGTAAACTTTATTTAATTTAATTTATATTTTATGAAAATGTTTTAATAGTTTAAGTTCTATATGGTATTTATAATAGTAATCTTTTAGTTCAAATTACTATACAATGTAGGAAATATTTTAATAAATATTTTAATAAATTATGATTAAATTAAGTAAAGTTTACTAAACAATTTGCACAATTTTTCCTTATGCTAAATCAAATAATTACAGTAATATTTTATTAATTATTGTAAACTATTAGCGTAAGCATTTAATTGATAAAATTTTTATTTATTTTTAAAAAATAAATAAATCTATTCTATACGATTTTTTCATTAAAAATACATTTATAGACAATTTTTAATAAGTTAAATTTATTGTATAAAATATAAAAATACATGATATGAATTATGATGCTAAAATGTATATGATACAAATGATTTTTTTTTAATTTCTTAATTTGTATTATAACAACCCTAGAAATGATAACTTTATAAATTGAAAACCCTAATATTTTATTTTTAAAAAAATAAATTATTAAATATAATATGATTTGAATGATTGCAATATTAAAAATGTTGTTTTCTCGTTGTTTGATATAAATAGTCGTTGCAAATGCTCGGGTAAGGGGTCTCGTTGGAGATGAGCTGTGATTGAGGCCATTCACGGTTGGTCAGCACCCGATCACGTCGTTTGGCTGACCAGAGACAGGCAAATGTGACCACAAGTATGGTTTGCGCCAAAATAAATGTCAATACTATTAAACTGATGCCAAATATGTTTTTACATGAATTTTGTTCAATTATTTTCTCATCTAAAATCAAATGATAAATAATACAATTTATTACTAAAACAATAATTAATTTTAATTATTTGCACAAATGTTTTACCCATTGATGAGTCGACAACCGAAACATTTTCGTCGTTCAGATCTAACTTTCGTTGACTTCTTTGAAAACCAAATCTATCGGAAACACTGAGTGACTGTTCGACCAATACTTCATCTGTTTCTCTCTTTCTTCGTCTTCGTTTGCCATACGAGTGTACTTCACTGGTTCGGCCGTCAACACCACTAATACTACATTTGATTGGTTCACAGGATGGCAGACACGGAGCTACCAGTGCTTTGAACTGAACCAAGTCTGAAGTGGGAAACTTGAAGGCATCGAAACGGGCCTCCAATACCTGTCCGTCGCCGTCGGCTTTACCCATTGGACCCATTATTAGTGCATCGGTTGGACAGCCATTGCTATCAATCAAAACTATTTCAGACATGTCCTGACCATCAATGGCTATCAACTCTCTCACAAACAATTCAAACGGACCTTAAAATAAAAATAATTTATTAATAAATCATTTTAGAAAAAATACAAATTAACTTAAAAACTTCTTTTCGTTTTTTTGTATAAATAAAAAAATATTGTTTCAATTTATTAATAATACAAAATTTACTATTAAAAATGTTAGTCATGTGTGAATCATATATTTAAAAATATTTGCTATTTGAAACTGTTGTGAGAAAAGTTTCTATAATTATATGAATATTTTAAAACTTAAAAATAATAAACTATTGGAATATAATGTATTTATATATATAAATAAACCTTTTTTTTTTAAAAAAATATTTTAAAATTGTTTGTATCCCAAAAAGCAAAACTTTTTTTAGGTTTATTGTGGGAATTCATACAAAATTTGTTTGTATACATACTGTTCTGTTCGAGGATAGAGAAGCGCAACAAAAGTGAATCCCCGACCTGTGCTGACATTATGTCACTTCTGTATAGATCAGTGATTCTCATCGTTACGTTCGGTGAGCTAACTGTTTCCGAGAGATGACCACTTGTGTCGACATCACTGTCCGACAAAAAACAATCAAATAATATTAATAAATATGTGAAATTGTATTACTAATCTAAAAAATCTGTTTGGTAGGAGGTTTGGGAACCGGTAGTAAAATAAATAAACAAAGTTTTTATATATAAAAAAATCACTAACCCGTCGACCGCAAGGTTCACATTGTTTGATATGCTTTTGTTTGAGAGATCATATTTGCAGTGAACGTTAAGCATGAGGTCCTGTGTGGTGACCACCATATCGTGATGTTGTATAACAATATCATTGGTGAACTGTCCCTTTCCCTCTTGTTTGACATCACACTCAACGTCATTGTACTTCATCTTAATCTCAAACTCTAGACTATTACTAATATCATTGACGCATAGATTTGGCTTTGATTTAGCATAGATTTTGCCGTCAAATACTTTTGTTGTCCTAACCTTAGCTATCATCTCACGGGATCGACACAGGATTGTAACTATAAAAAAATATACATCAAAAAAATAGTTTAAATATTTATAATACTCAAAATGTCAAACAAACAAACAAAAATTGGACCAAAAAATATTGGAAAGTTATAACCAGAAAAATTACTATATAATAGCATTGAATAAAACAATCAATTGTTATGTCATGTATGACAAGAAAAAACCACAACAATGGTATCAATGGACAGGTATTTTCTTAAAAATGAATATAATAGAAAACGAGAGTCAATGACAATTATATTGACAATTGTATACAAAAAAATATAATAGTAGTATCAATCATAAGAAATGAAACTATAATAATAATAATACCACAAACAACAAAACAAAAAAAAATGTATTATACAAACCATTATAACATGAGAGCAGCTCATAGGTCGTGGCACCAGTTATTTCAATGTATGGATTATCGATGTGAGACAAAGAGTTTTTGTCCAAATGTGATGTACGACAGACAGCGTGCGATGGATCTCCCAAATCAAATGAATGGCACCGATAGGCACTAGTCATACACTTTTCTTTGCATTCATCAATTGTCTTAACACTTTCGTACACTGAGTCCACTGTCTTCAGTATCTTACCATTGATGGGCCGAATATCGCATAACTTTTTTGGCTCTAATTTATTTCATAATATAAGAGATTGTTAGTAAAAAACTATTATTTTTTTGTTTCTAGTATTTAACAATTATGTGTAATATACGGATACTTGGCATACCTTGAATACAACTGTTTTCCATATAATCGATAGTACCTGTCGATGATGGTCCGTATTTTTTAGACCTAAGCTCGTTATTTAAGTTAATGGTGTGTCTGTCCATATCGGAAATTGCGCACTCGTGAGAGTCGGTATCAAAATTGACGGATCGGCACTCAAAGTCATGTTCAATCAGACATAACTGCATACACTCGACCCTTGACTGCACTTTCACAGCCTTTTTGGCCAAACGTTTCAATTCATAGCCCTTAACCCTCTCGAAAGCCCAGCCATGAGTACAGACTTTATTTTTGTCTAAAATAAATTATTAAACATTGCATTAAAACTAAAATTACAATTTATGATTACAAATAATAATTATTATGACTTTATAATTACTATTTAATATACATTTAATTATTAGATATTAATTATGATTGCCTTTTCATATACACAACTGTAGACTCCAGTTATTTCCAACAAAAACAAAGACAACTATTACTATCTGTCACTTAAGTTTATTTCAATTATAAATTATTTATTCGTATATTTATAGCATTTTATGTCTTGTTTCGCATCTATTGAATAATAATAAAACTTAATGTTTATTGTTATTGATGTAATGATTTTTGTTATACCAAAATAATAATTTTTATATTAGGATTCCAAACTATATGTGTGAGTGAGTGAATGAGAGAGAGAGAGAGAGAGAGAGAGAGAGAGAGAGAGAGAGAGAGATATTTAAGGTATTTAAGGTGTTTTAAAGACAAAATAGATGTTTTTATGATTTATTTTTTAAACAACCATATGATGTGATACTACCCAAAGATATCTTTAAGGATATATATATATATATATATATATATATTAATATTCACAACAGTGACTCTTATAGCTATATAATTTTTTGTTACTTATAAAATAATTTATAATTTTAGTTTATAGTTAATCCCTAACACATATATATATAAAGATAACACTACGAGCTGTTAGAAAAAATTTGGTTTATAATAATAATTATTTTAATTTACAAATATATTCCGCTGATTTTTTTATTTTAATATTTAAAATATATGGTGAATATACACTGTATATAAAAATTATATATATATTTCTATTACTAAACTTTTAAACTAAAAGCACGACCTGAACGTAGAGTTTGAATGCGAAAAATTATGTTAATTCAAGCGATTAATCATTTTTTATGGCCTACACTCTCTTAATCATAAGTCTCGGTACTGTAACTTCATATTTGCCCTCAAAGTTATCCACATTATTAGTAATACAGTATTAAATACTACTATATATCCGATGTTTTTTTGTTGGTTGGTATCTAGAAATTAGTTGAGAGTATCATTAAAATAGTTGATTGAAAATGAAAAATGAAAAAAGTAATTATTTTGAATAAAGAAAATAGACATAAAAAAGAAAGAGAAAAACGATACCGAAGGAGGTGTTTAGCACTCAATCAATTAATGGTCTATTGTTTTGGATAAAAATGCGATAAAAACTGTTTTTTTGTTGTTATTTTGTGTGTGTATATATATATAATATAATATAATAAGAGGTATAATAGGTTTCTCCCCACTGTTGTTAAGCTAATTATGCAATACTGTTGATATTGTTTTACTAACTATTTTACTAACAATTATTTATTTCGTTTTTTTATTTCAAACAACGATAAGAAACAAAAATTATCACAAATTATATTAACCTTTTAGACAGACTTTCTGTGCATAGATAATGAAAACCGGAAATTGTGATGAAGTTAGCGCTTCGGGTCTCTGATTGGCCGATGAGCTGACCAGAACACACAGTCCTGTCTCGAAGTTTACCGATTTGCACGTATCGTTGAGCAGACAGTATTGAAGACAATCGGTCAGATGCATGACACCTGCGTATGAGTCCAATATATCGGTGGGTGAATTGTATACCTGTCCAGTGATCAGCTCGAAAGTGACTGTATTATCACTCGGACAGACAACTGTTGACAAATATTTTTTTATTATTTATTAGAAAATTGTGAAAATTAGTTAATTTATTTATTTTTAAAATTATTATATTTTTACTTACATTTTTGTTGCGCCAAAACATTATTATTGAATAATAAATTAATGACCAGAATTGGGATTAATATCCTTACAATAGGTAAATGTTTTAAAAGAGATAATAATTTAATTATCAAGAACTGCATTGTTGTTGGTGTTGCTGTCGATGATGTGTCCAATTGTTTTTCATATCAAAATTATTCACAAAATTATAATTTATTTAAAAACATAATATTTTTGTCCACTATTATCAATTAACAACACAACTTACACCAAAAAAGCAAATATAATCAAAAAGTTTGTTTAACTTAAAAAAAACTTTTTAAATTTTTTCCTAATCTAAGAATTTGCACTTTTTTTCTCTCTCTCTAGAATTTATCACTCGTTTTGATTTTTTTATATCAATAGGAAGCCAAACATATATATATATAAAAAAATGTTGTCATCACTTATCAGATATTTGTTGTCGAGAGTTGACGAGTAGTATTAGTATTAGTAGTGGTTGTAAAGCAAACTGTTTTTCTTCAACAAATCACATTTTATCAGTCAATAGGAAAATAAAAATTTTTCTTGAAATTCAAATTGAAAAAAATATCACTGCAATAATAATAACAAAAACTGGTCGATGAAATTGCAAACAAACTTTTGCAAACTAAAAGTTTTAGTAAAATTTTGTCGATAAAATCAAAAATGTTTAAAAAAAATAGTTATTAAACTGTTATTATTTGATTATTAGTGTTATTTACATATAAGGCATATATAAAATATGTTTATGAAAACAGTTTGTTTAGAAAGTCTTTTAATTTCATAACGAATTCTATGTTATTTGAGAGGAGATCGAGATATGTGTGGTGTGTGTGTGTGTATGTGTGTGTCTGCAACAGTCAACTCATAGCACAGTATGTTAAAGCATATACCGATTACCCATAGTATGGTTAAAGCATTAGTACACTGTATACAGTACTATACATACACATCCAGCACTGGCACAAAACATCTAAACCTGACCTTAAACTTGTTTTCCAGAGGACTGACTGCCAGGCAATCCGACGCACAAACACACTGTTCTTCTCTTTTATATATAATGTGTTTAAGAAGATCAGGAAATAATAATAAGAGGGCTCAATAACAGGCTTTCCCCGAAACACACACAACACACACACACACACCACCACTGGATAGACAGTCGACACCGAGCCGTGAAGTGTCGGCACAAACATAAATACACTGAAAAAAACTTAAAGTACCCATAATTCTTAACTATAATACATTTGAATATATATTTCATTTGTTTATATAATTTATTTTCTAAAATAATTAAAATCATTTATATATAAAGACAATAGGTATTTGTTAGTTGTAGTAAAATGCAAGTGAAAAAAATAAAGTGTTAAAAATGTATGTTTTTTATTATATAAAATTAAAAACAATTATAGACAACGGTATTCATAATTTGTTTATACTAAAGAAAACGTTAACTCTAAAAAAAATTTCAAATAATTATTTTTGAAAAAACGTTAAAAACTTTTTTTTCTTATTTTGTTTAAATACAACAAAATCTAAATCCAATGCAAAACTTATGTTTACTAATTCCGGACTAACTATTAATGAGTGTTATTTTAGGTTTGTTTTAAAACATGCTAATAATTTGCATATTTTAAATAGATCTCATTAAATTTATAAATATAAATATATATATATTTAACAAAATGAAAAGTATAAATTAATATTTTGTTGCAAAACTATTTATTATATATAGGAAAATTTTTTTTGACTCAAAACTATTTATTATTGTATAATATATATATTTATAATATTTATTATATTTATTGCTTAAAAATTTAAATACTGACCATATAATGACAGTCAAAGTTATATAAATTATATACAGTATATATATACATAAAAATAAGTAATACTATAAAATAAACAAAATTTATATCCTATTTGAAAAATCACTGCTTTATTTGCATACATTTGCCTGCACTATAAAAAACAACCATCACTACTACCGTACTATCGGGAAAGCCTGATTTTTATCTGCAAAAAAATCTTGTTTAGTTAATTTTCAATCAAAATGTAGGCGCACCGGTATGTCTATCCCCGGTATGTTTATGTGCGCATAGTTTGACTCGACCTTATGGTTTTTATAGTTATTACATATAGCATTCACTGGTGTAGACTTAACTTCCGAGTCAATCAAAATTTTAGATATCTTTGTCTGATGAGTGCAAGTATAGTAAAAATTAGTAAATAATATTACAATTGATCGATACCTACGTTTTCTATGCATAATATAAATTATATCAATAGATTATCATTTTAACTTCATATATACTATATATATATAATATAGATAAATATCTTAGATAATTGAAGCATAAATGTAATAATTTTTTAAATTTAAAAAATATGATAAAGTATTTATCAGTGCCTATAAAATCCGTGCAATAAGTCATGTTTGAAGCAATAACAGTGAAAACCATAAAAAATAAAGTTATGTTATAAAAATCGCAATGTTTTTTAAACGAAATCCATTGAACATATGAATCATTAATATTAGCACCAGAATTATAAAGTAATTTATATATAATTTTAATGATAAATTCGTTAATAAAAACCCTTTAAAACATTAATTTTTTAAAGTGAAATGAAATTATTTATATATATACAGTATATATTTTATGTATATTTTTTTTAATAAAAAAGAGGAACTTATTTATATAGAAATAAATATTTTTTATAATTCATGTTTTCTCATGCGATAAGTAACTCTTTTAATTATTAGATAATTTATATTATTAATAATATTAATAATAAATAATAATGATAATAATAATATTATTATTATTATGTTTTTTTTGTTGTTACAGTATTATTAATATTAATTTTTAAAAAATGTTTACTGCTTGAATAAAATTTATAAAACATTGAGTGCAATACATATAACAAAAAACCGAAAGATTATAAGATAATTAAGGAATTTATATAGACTTTTGCTATTATTTTTCGAAGCGAAACAACTGAGCAAAAAATGTATTTTTTTGATAAATGAATTTTGCGGTCATTACGACCGCTAAAAACATAAAATGTAATTTTTTGTTGTGTTGTCCCGCTGTTAGGCTATAATATTATTATATCGAGAGAGAGAAGTTGTATTATTTGAGAGAAATTTTAGTCAATTTATTTATTAGTAAGTTTAAAGAGACAGTTTAATTTTTGATGTTATTAAAAAATTTACTTTCAAATTGTTTTTTGTATTTTAAAATAAAAATCAGTCAATGAAAATCTAATGGAAAGTTTTCAAAATAAAAGTTTTTTTCTAACATTTATTCATTAATAATAAATTTTCTAATCTCTCTCTCTCTCTCTCTCTCTCTCTCTCTCTCTCTCTTTCTTTCTTTCTTTCTCTTTCTCTAACTTATATTATTATTATTATTATTAACAATAGGAAATAGTATTGTTTGTCTTTTTTTATTTGAGTGCTGCCATGAATTATTGTTTTTATATATACAATATAAATGTATTTATTTTTATAACTTTTTATATAAATAGTATTTTCATTTTAATGTGAGAGACTATAATAATAATAAAAATACTGTGTATACTATAGTACATCAACAAACTATTTCTTAAAATAATAATACTAATAATAATAGTAATAATAATAATTTAATACAAAGTTTATTATTATATTTAGGAACAGATTTAAATCATATATTTAGAGACAATTTAAATACTTTTATTTTTTTTTGTTAAAACTTAAGTTTAATTTACTGAATAGTCATCAACTATTAAAAGTGCAAACTTATGACTACTTTGTATCTATTATTACCACAAAAAAAATTATTCAAAGATTTAAATTATGTTTAATTCTTTGCTTTAAAATTAGTTGCAATTATTTTAATATTACATTTTTATTATACTTTTATTTCTGGTTATAAAATTTTTTCCTTTTGACTGTCATTTTTACAGAAAATTACTTGAAATTACACACATCTTATTCTATAAGCGCTTTTAACTGTAAATTTATGAATAAATTATATAATTTATATATAATTTTATATCTGTATATAAATTTACTGTATATATATAAGTGTATAAAACTTTCTGTTGTTGCGTAAAAATATAACAAAATAAATAACAATAAAAATTTTTTTATATATATATATAATTCTGTTTTAATTTGTCATTAAATAATCCATAAGTTGTGTGATTAGCTGCAAAAAAACATAATGTAAATCATATTCAATGAGATACTGCTATTCAATGAACGGTTTTTTAAATATAATATTTCAATTGATGTGTTGTTAAAATTATTATTATATTCAATATAAATGTACTTTTAAGCGCACACTTAGCACACATCGAGATATAAGAAAAAATGTTAAATTAAATAAAAAACTTGTTTTTATTAGTTTTTATCAACAAAAAAATAACAAAACATCAAAATCTTTTTCCCTATTCATTATCATTTATTTATAACATTATAAGTCAATGTATATTTTGTATAGTATAATACTTATAAATCAAAGTTTAATTATCTCATATTGTAATTCAATACATTGAATACAAGGCATCAAATAAAGTCAATCAATCATCTCTCTCTCTCTCTCTCTCTCTCTCTCTCTCTCTCTCTCTCTCTCTCTCTTTCTCTCTCTCTCTCTAACCATAGTTTTAATACATCAATTGTAAAGCAAAATTAAAAGCAAAAATTCATTTGATTGCATTCAAACATCTTATGTCAGCTAAATATCTCATTTAATTCAATCAATATATTGGTTTTGAAACTCGTATAGCATTACTCTGTTTTAATATTCAGTTTTATTTTGTCTGATTAACCCTAAGCTATAAATCATAATAATATACCGTTTTTGCAAAAGTGAAACTATTTGTAAATTATTTTTTAAGGGTTTTCTTTTTGTCGTTGTTGTTGTTAATTATTATTTATTAAAAATAAGTGATTATTAATATTAATATAGAGAGCGGTATAGTTTAAACAAGAGTCGAGATGCCTACAAGTTATATAAACTAGAAAAATATGTGTCTTTTAATAACTGTTATTATCATTTTTTTAACGAAATAGTGGAGAGAGAGAGAGAGAGAGAGAAAGAGAGAGAGAGAGAGAGAGAGAGAGAGAAAGAAAGAGAGAGAGAAAGAGAAGAGAGAGAGAGAGAGAGAGAGAGAGAGAGAGAGAGAGTTCAATCACAAGTCATATAAAAAATTAATTAAAATTAATAATTTCATAAATAAGATGACTAAACATAGCTATTATTAATAATAATTTTATTATTTCTTTTAGGACACAAAATAGTTATAGATATAAAAACAAGAAATTAAAGTTTAATAACCCTTCTTCTCTCTCTCTCTCTCTCTCTCTCTCTCTCTCTCTCTCTCTCTCTCTCTCTCTCTCTCTCTATTCTCTCAATTTTACAAATTGTTATATTAATGAGCGGCAAATTTACACCACTTATGTGTACAAATAATATAAACAGTATATACAGTATATGGCTATATATATAGTGTTTACGTATAGTTTATTTAAAGGTGGCATTCGTTATAATCAACAAAATATATGCACGAATGCATACATAGAGTACACATACATATATACAACACAACAAAAAATAACAACAAAACACACGAAGAGTGTAATAACCGAACCATAAATAGTGAGAAACCAATTCTTCTCAAGTCTTTTACTAACCTTTTGATTTGATATAATAATAATAATAATAATAATAATAATAATAATAATAATAATAATAATAATATCGGACAATACATTATCGGCATAATAATGACCATAAATTTTGTTGAAAATTTCAATATTCAAAAAAAGTTTATTTCAGTATATTTATCAAAATATAATAGTAAATTTATATACAGTTTTATACAGTATATTATAAACTTCTACTTATTGTATTG